CATGCTATAAAACTCAAAAAAAGTTGATTTTACATGATATTGCCCCTTTAACATTAAGTAACACTATAACATGTGAGTTATTTAACTGGACTGATCCCTCTCTGAAAAAGAGCAGCCTAAAGCTTTACCTGCATCTAATACTGATATCATCTCAGAATAGATTGTGTTGAAACTGAAAGGCAGTATCAAACGAGTTAGAATTTCTCTGGAAGGAACGAGAACAGGGACATTGCTTCTCTCCTCCTGGCTGAGCTGAAACTTCACAGGAATGCAGGAAGTTAATTTCTGTCCAAGAAGTCATCAAGTAAATAAGACATCACACATTGTAACATTTCAGGTGAAGACACTTGAAGAGTTACATCATTCAATGAAACTGTAGCCAGGTACGTTATCTACCCAATCTCTTTTGTGGCGTGGTTGTGCCATATCTCACTTACGTGCAATCTTAAATATAATTGAAGCTGCTGAAAAGGACGTGTTGAAAAAATGGTGACTTTCTAAAAGAAGTGCTGCTGCTGAATCGTTGGAAGCTTTATTTCCTGCGCTGTGAACAACACAAACAAAACTCTGCAGGCATCTTTTGAAACAACAGCAAAAAACCTATGCAAATATATCAAACTACCTACTACTGGTAGGTACATACCTGAGAGGCTAAAAATGCTGAACCAACTACACACAGATTCAATGATCTATGTGTACTTTTGTTTGTACTTTAAGACATCTAAATGTGAAAGCCATTTCTTGCTGTGACTAAGTGTGTGATCCAACGTCTGAGGAAATATATTAAAAAAGGTACAAGAAAATTTTGAAAAAGTTATATGGAAGACAAAGGATCTATGTAAATATTAAAATATAAAGGCAGTGGTGGGCAACGCTAATCCAAAAATTAGCTCCGCAATTTCTAAAGCGCTTATGAAAATATTTAGGTCCGCAACTTCAAAAGTGCTTATGCCATAGAAAAACTAGCGGAAGCTAATTTTAAAGAGCAAGTTCAATTTGACACTTACTAGCTGGCAACAATTCATGTACAATATATGTACAACACTGCCAACTAGCGGTGTGTGAACTCTTTTACAGCTTAATTCTACAATCGCCGATTGCTGGGGATGTGATTTCCTGAAACAGAACTTTAGCTC